TGACGTCTCACGCCGATCTCACAATCACGCCAATCCACCATCACACTTCGACGCCTTTCCTTCACCCTCACCCACGACGGCGCACTGCTACCGACGGCAATTCGCACCTTCACCACGCCCCATCGCGTCGCTGCCCTGTCGCCAGCTCTGCCAGCCATCCGCCGCGGCACGTCAACGAGTGGTTACCGGCCCCCACTGATCCGTCCAGCGACTCCACTGGACGACTTCATCCCGGAACGAGCGCTGCTGCGCCCATCGCACCCGCCCTCACCGAGTCGCAACCCCCATAGCAGCTCGATTATGCTGCCTCAAGAACCGCTGCAAGCGGGCTCGCCGCACACGACACTCTCCAGGTCCTACTACCCGACCGGCAATGCGCCCTTTGCGCATGCCACCATCCTTACCGGACAACCGGCCTCACAGCTCGATGACGTGCGGATATCGAGATACAACAACACTCTCGGCTCGACGGCCAAGGGTATCATGATAGGCATATTCTCCGTGCTGGGCGCTGCGGGCGTATGTCTTATCATTGCCGCCATTGTTTACTACTTCCGCTACACCAACACAGGACGCATCTTCCTCGACCGGATAACGCGGCCTGGTGAATATGACGACGAGCAACAGTTTGCCAAGGAGGAGGCCGAGGCGCTAGAGGATATGGACGACCTGCAAAGAACAGAGTACATGAGAGCGAAAGGTATGCCAGGCAGGTTATTGTGCAGGGAGAGCACCAGCTAACCTCCACAGCTTTTGTGCAAGCCAACCCGCCCGAGTCCGTTCAAACCGACATATCACTATCGCAGTTCTTGGCTATACAAGAGAAGGGAGTGTCCGCCTGGGAATTTGAGCCCGAACTAGAGATTGCCAACTGCTTTGTCGAAGGCCGCACGGAAATTGAGTTCTTTGATTCGGAGTGCAGCGTCCAGAGCAACCTCCCGATCCCGAAGCAAAACGAAGTCTACTACTGGGAAGCCAAGGTCTACGAGAAGCCCGAGAACACTAGCATTGCGATTGGCGTCACAACGAAGCCGTACCCGTTGTTCAGACTACCAGGTTTGTCAACGACCACGCCTTCTCTTTTTTCGTTTACTAACGTTTGTCAGGATACCACAAAGCCTCGATATCGTACATGTCCAACGGAAACCGCCGATACAACCAGCCCTTCCAACCCTCCGCTTACGGTCCCTCCTACGTTCAAGGAGACGTCATTGGCGTTGGATACAGACCTCGAACAGGAACAATCTTCTTCACGCGAAATGGAAAGAAACTCGACGACGTCGCCCACGGTCTCAAAACACAAAACTTCTTCCCCACCGTAGGCGCAAACGGCCCATGCCAAGTTCACGTCAACTTCGGCCAAATGGGCTTCGTCTTCATCGAAGCCAACGTCAAGAAATGGGGTCTAGCCCCCCAAACCGGCAGTCTCGCACCCCCACCCCCCTACGGCAGCGAACAAGGATCCATACTCCTCGACTCCGGTCGCGAAGGCATAAGAGAAGGCATGGGCGGAAGCTACATCCAAGCCGGTTTCGGTCACGGCCGCTCCAGCAGCCAGCAAATGCGTCTCGGACGCCAAGTACCAACAAGTCCCGGTCCGCAACGCAGTCCAACCGACATCTCATTAGCCGCCCTTAGTCTGGTCGATTCTAACGAAGATGTCGGTGAAGGGACTAGCCACGACGATCACGCGACAACCACAATCCCCGTAGACCAACGCCAGGGTCTTGGTCTCCTGTCACCAGGCGAACTCCCTCCTGAGTACAGTAGTCCTGTTGGCTCGCCCAACCTGCGCAACACGGCCGACCACGAAAGAAACGGATACTGGAACGAGCGAGCACCGCTTCTACAGAACCAGCAGCAGTCTGGCGAAAGAAGTCCACCGGTTCCGAGCTATGATGCCGCGATGGCTGATACACCAGAGATACGGCGTCCTGCTATCAGAGTGAGGAGCGCGACGGAGGCTGGTGTGAGACCGCGTGGACCCCGCTAGACGAGCTGGAAGTCCTTTTTCTTTTGTGTTACTCTACTCTCCATTGTTTTGACGAATCTGAGAGGAAGATTGCGTCTTTTCACTATACCCTATCGCTCAAATTTCTCCTTTTTCCTATCTTTGTCGAGGCTGGATCCATCTCATTGCGAAGGATCATTATGGATCGAACGCACCGCTGTGGGAAATGTCTCCACGGACTGCATGGGTGGCAGCGAAACATATCTTTGAGCGGCCTGATCTGTTATGGCCCATACTACCTGGCGTTCTGGAAGCGAGCATTGTTACGTTTATTTTTGCTTGCTTTCTGGGTGGAGTCACGAATGATTAAGCACACGAATACTCCTGTTGCTGGCGTTTTATTGGATAGAATGGCTCGATGTGCGTTGAAGCGCGTTCAAATTGGATTGCGGCTGGCTTTGGCTACTCATGTGGTAGCTTTTGGATTGTAGTAGTAAAGCGATGAGTTGGTTGATTGTCAATATACACGCTCTCCCACTTGCGAGAATTATCGTATCAATTCTTCCTTCTGTCTACATTGCCTGTCATCACTTCTAGCTATGGATTTCTCGTGGCTAACAGCAATTTAGTTGTTCACCAGACACGCGGTCTACAAAATCCTTTTCTTACTGTCAAATCGCACGAACGTACACATTCGGTCTCCATAGAGACCCATAGTACTCTTCCAGGTTGCCATACTTGGCGTACCAAAGTGAAGACCTAGCGCTCGCTCAATTTGTTGGAGAGCATTATCTCTTTTCAGTTCCTCCTGAACGCACAAAAAACCGCCACCGCGTTCAATACCTTCTGCAGCACAATAGTAATGTCCACGAACAATTCATGGGCGGACGACCATACCCATGGCGCAACCCCGCGATCATCTTCGAATCGCTAGCAGAATCGCTCATCATCGCCAACCTAAAACGCTCCTGGCACTTCCAAAGAGAAGCACAATTCCGCTGGATGCAAAAAGTGATCTGGACCTCGATTGACCGCTATCGTGTAGTCGTTCGCGACGTCGAGGGCACGGTAGGCGAAATAGCAAAGGAACTTTGCAACAAGCCCACGGCATTTTATTGGCTCCAGTCAGCGCAGACAGGGGCTCCGCATGCCCCCGAGAAGTCTTGCATGTCTGGTGGTGTCTTTGCGGCTATATACGAAGAATGGCGTCGAGGTTGTGTTAAGCTAAATATCGAGTTTGCCCATTTCTTCGCTGCGCCCGTGAGGGTTGCGGGTACGGGTCCGGACAGCCTACCAGATATCTTGAGGGCATATTTATCGCTTTGTGCTCAAGCACGGCATGTTTCGTTGGATATGTAGAACTATTCAATGCATCCACTTCTCCCTGCCGTTATTCTCATATGCGACCGCCGTGACTCAAGAGCTAAAGGAGGAACAGATGGCTTTGTCAGTCTCCGCGAAGTAGCGAGCACACAGACTGTGCTTGTCATTCTCACTGGGGAAAATCGTACCAGTACCGGTATCCACATTTCTCTGGATCCTCTCAAACCCTTCGCTCTGCCCATCGAGAGACCTGACGCCACTGGCGGCCTTGATATCCTGCGCGTGCCCCTGGACGTCGCCGTCAGGTTTGTCACTGAGTTGGAGGCCAGGATTGATGAGCAAAAGGAAACCAGCAGTGCGAAGTTGGACAAGAGTCTTTGTCTGCACCAAACGCCCGTTGGATACAGTCGCGACATCAGATTTTACCCGAATGTATGGGCGAGGATAATGCGGGCAGAGGCGATGAAGACTGGGTTTAAAAAGTTGGAGGATACGAAGTTTGCTGCTGTACGCGTTCATGCTCAGCTTTCTGGGCAAGGGTCGGGTTGTGAACTTGAACATGTGCCGTTTAGCCAGACGTGGAAACCCTGAACTGACTTGCGTGTTTGAGTTGATCGTTCCGCGTGGGATTGAGGCACACGGTGAGTGCAAAGCTTGAAGTTGTTTCATTGGCAGTGGTGGAAGAGCTGGTATGTTTTAAGCGGTAAGAATGTTTACTGCATCTATGCGCAGGTCATCCAGAGCTCTTGTTCCATCTTTCAATGATTCCATTACTTTAGCGTTGAGGCGAGGGAGAGCGGAAAGAAGAGAATGGGGAAAGAGCAGAGAAGCTACGTGTATCATCCATGAAGAGCTTCTCGATAGTTCCTACCTCATGTAAGTATGTAGTCTTTACCATCGCCTTCTATTCTTTCTCACCTGTATACCGCACCGAAACTTCTGCAACATGTCAAACCCTCTCGAAGTCTACGAAACCGCGATCACGAACGGAAAGCGGCTATGCAAGGAGTAAGCCAGTTCTCGAGCACAGCCACCTTTGCCCGCCTCGCTTTCTTCTTGTGGCTACTATGTGAAGTCAGGGAGATTACGATCCAACACCGAGAATGCTCTCGGGAGAGTGGAAATATCCTGCGGCATAATGATCAGTAATTCGACCTATGTTGAAGATCGCTCTGTGAGTAAAGAGGAGTAATGAGGCGATGATGGTGGCGTTGTACTGATTGCGTGACAAGATGCGTGAAGGAGCTTGCCGGCTACGATGTTTTTGTAAGCAGTTGTTGGATCTTGACAGCCTGTACGTATGCGGCAAGTGAGATATTGATGAAAGTATAAGCGGGGAACAGTGGTGTTGTCGTTTTCTTAGTTCCTCGTGGTAGACGTGGCTTGCTTGATGCTGCCTTCCAGAGGTGTGAAGCGAGATTGCTCAGCCCCCAAGTGAAACAGTGAAGTGCGCCACGTGGGCGTCAATGACCGTGTCTCCTTCCAATCACAACCATCTTCTTCGCGACTTTCAATGTATACCGCGCGACTCCATCTCTCTTTCCTTTCATCAAAATCGTCCCGCAACTTTCACCCATGAGCGTACGGCTGCGTTTCTCGCGACATCAAAGCTATCGCAATCATAACGTATACCCCAAGACAATCTCGATGATCAGCCGGAACCAAAACCAGGGCCCATTCTGATCAAGAGCGCGCTCTCTTCTTCTTCTTTGTGTCTCTCGCTATCATGACCAGTCTTGTCTGTGACGGCACCGAAGCTGGCAACCAAGATTGGGTGATTAGCGGCTTCTACGGTCCAGGCGGATGGGCAGCTTGGTGCATCAGCCTCATCGCATCTTGGGCACCGATCCTACTCGAAGATGACGCACACAATCTCCACCTCATCGCATACGCGTTATACATGAACTGGGCAGCGATAGACTCTTTCCGATATCTATCCTTCGGAGGAAAGCTCGTCGAACTAGCATCGAGAAAGGAAGCGTTAGAACGAGAGCGGTTCGTCAGTGTCAGACAAGATGCCGATACATTGGTCTTCCTACAGCACTGGCCGTCAGATTGGGATAAGCCTAGACTATGGGACGTGGACACAATCCTGACGAATACCACGCTTCAAGTGCAAGATGCCGAAATCCACATCGGAGATACGACAGAAGCCTCCCCGGGACTATGGGACTTTTACTCGATGCCTACAACAGAAGATCTTACGAGTGAACTTGCAAGAGTCGAAACTCAACTTGCCAAAGCCATAGAAACCTTTGGACAACAACAGTCCTTACTCAGCAACCAGATGCATCAACTACAGGCAGCGCTGGCAGTGTTGAACCTTGGCATGCCGCATGCATGGATGCAGATGTTGGTTTGCATATGGAAGACGCACAAAGACAATCCAAGCGAAACAGTGCAATCAAGCCAAAGACGCATTTGGATTATAACCACGGGCCTGGTCCTGCCTTCGATCATGCAATTGTTAGATGCAATACTCCATAATGGAGCTATCATGACCGGATGGTCAGGCACCACAGTGTTTACCATGGGACTCATGATAACGACTACGTTGGGTCTTCAATACGGCAGCGTTTTCGCTCCGCTACCACCGCACATGAATACTGTGCTCAAGCACATCCTCGCAACCATCTCCGCACTCCTCTGTACAGGATGTTACGCGCTTTTAGTGCTCTTACTTCGATGTACATCGGTCAAGGGACTAAGATGCGGCTTGATGCCACATACGCATTCCGAGATCACGGAGCTGGATCAGGCGTTCGCGCTGTTCGCTGCGCTTCTTTATTTTCTTTATGAGTTTGGTTCGTTGCTCGTTAGTTTTTTCGGGTTTCTGAGGCTTCAGTTTGAGAAGCTGCTTTTTGGGAACAAGGCTCATCATACGACGTGGGCTGGTGTGCCGCTCGGGCTGCCATATTGATGGAAGCTTGTCTGCAGACTAGAACGACGACTCATAGCATCTCAAGGGTTAATACAATACCTTGTCGTTCGTTCCACTGTGTTGCATTTGCTCTGGGAGGTGTTCTGGAGCATCTTTATACATGAAGCTCTTCTCATTTCCAAGTACCCAAGGCACGCCTCACTCTCCGAACGAACCTTGCTTCGACAACGTCTGACCGGCATCATTACTAAGATCAGCTATATTATCTCTTCTCTTACCGCCGTTTTGAAGATCAGGGCATCCACTCACTACTCCCTGTCGAAGAAAAAGACACGAAAAAGGTAGGATACATGCCCATCATCGGCAAGTCCGAAGAGCATTCTTCGTCAACATGTCCGCGACAAGTTGGCCCATGAGAATTGAAGCACGTGTAGCCAATAACCAACTTTGATTTAGGCTAACATCTTCTCAGCACGCAAGAAGTATACCAGTACAAAACAGAACCATACCTTCGCAGCACGTCCAAAAGCTGTCTCCGATTCTCTACATCAGCTAGAAATAAGTACACCAACATATGCACAGAAAGACACCCACCCCACATCAACCACTTCTTCGGCCGAGAAATCAACAATCCCATCATCGCCCCGAACAATCTGCATGCATTTCGCGTATGCAGCTACATCCTTCGTACCAAAGAAAAACACCACCCCAAGAAAAGATCACAGCTGTATCCGTGAACTATCTACAAATATACACAACTACCCCACCAACCCAATCTCACATTCTCCAATCACCTTCCAGAACCCTTCTTCCGCACCAACCTCGTATTTCGGAGTTATAAAAAAGTCCTCCCCTTACCCACATTCCACGTTCCACTACCGACCGACCGAACTTTCAGCCTCACCTGGGCAGCGTGCGCGCTAATGGGACGTGCCGTGAATACGAGAATGTATGACGGTACCGAGTAAGAAGCCAGTGCAGAAGCTACGCGTCGCGTCCGAAGCGATCAACACCGCGTACGACACCCAGTCACGTTACCTACCTAACGTAGTTCGCCCGTTTGCTAGGGAGGTAAGACCGAGAGGAGACCGTGCTTATCCACTGTTTTCTAGGGTTGGAAGGGGTAGTGAAGGCTTGTTGGGTTTGGGAGGTTTGTCGATGTACGATGTACGAATCATGTCTTAGACATTTGTACGCAGGGAAAAAGATCTTCAACAGCTATGTTTCACGCCTGCCACGCGTTGAACACTAAGTGTCTGTTGGGCTGTTCGAGTTGGGATTGATATGTTTAGTAGTAGTGAAGGCAGCGGTGCCATGAGTGCGAATGCTGTGATGCCACGATATGCGTTGCATATCCAAATACACACGCTACGTGTCAGTGTACTCGCTGATCCCTTTGCAACCTCACCGTAAGGTAACATCCTCACTACTGTCAATGGCAATACATAGTAACACAGCAGAGTCGCAATCGCAATCGCAGTCGCAGTCGCATCGCATGCACAGTACCAGCAGATCTACCATCCAGCGGGTCAACTCCCCCCGTCTTAGATATGCCCGCAAACAGCCTAGTCCCTCCCCCAAAACCCCAATTGGGGGGTTTGGAGACACAGAAAGCATACAAAGGTGAGGCTTAGCTCTCCGACTAAATAGTCCCGACTAATTAGTTATCGGAGTGTGGGCGTGGGCGGTCGGAAGGAAGGAATGCGGGAATCGACTGATAATGACATCGTGGGGTGCTCCGTCCGGCAATCAGTTCAGGCAAATGTGCGGGCGAAAAGGTGTGTGTAGTGTAGGAGATGTCTCCGAGAGCTGATGGTTGGAAGTCGACGTAGAGTTTAGGCAGTTGGGTGTTAGTCTTCGCGAACTTATTTAGTTAGCAGCGTCGACGGTCGGCTTTCGCTTCCAAAGACTTTTTTGGCGGGCGCGGGCATGGCACCAGAAACGTGGCAATGCGACGCGCGCGGCGTTAGAAGAGCGCCAGAAACGCCAGAACCCATCGGATCGTGCTTGTCCGAGGTGGTGAACCAGAGGAAAACGAACTTTGGCATCGTGGCATTCTCCGCGAAAATGCGCCATGGCGATGGTAGTGAGCGCGACACAAGTCGGGGACAGGCCAGCCACACAGTCTAACGCAGCTTTGGTGTCCGTGCCAGACGCGAGGCTACTCGTTTCGTCCTTCGTTCAGCCACCCCTTATGTACGCGCGGATCATATCGTCGAGGCTTCGGAACTTTCTCCAGCATTCGGCTTCATCACGCCTAGGTTCATGTACACACAGTACCATGATGTACCTACAGCGACCGACCGACCCTCCGCCTCGGCTCGACATGACAATGACCAGCCTGAGGCTCACACACCCACCCACCCATGCACGCTTGATCCCCAGAATAGAAATTATCAATGACCTGTTCGGTATTAGTAGAAATCGGGGGCTGCTGCTGCTGGGGCTGCACGGCTGTCAGAAAGTAGAGATCTGCTTTCCTGCAGGTGCTGGTGCGTGAGCGCTGGCAGGGTGCGCGAGCGCAGGTGGCATCCTTCGGCCGACCGAGCTCACGCATTTTTTTTGTTTGGTTTGGTGGTTGATCGTCGCGTCACGTTTTCTCTCTCTCCTTCGGAAGCCGGACAAAAGCCAGATCCGAGCCCCGGGCGGTGGTTGGTGGATTCCAAGTGCGGTGAACCCAGAACCAAACGTCGAGTGAGACTCGAGTCAGCGCGCTGGTACACCACGGGTAGTGCCCGTTGCGTTCTGCCAGGTCAGAATTTTGGAGTGTCATGGTGCTGCGACAAAGAGGATACTATGGCGAGTGGAAAACCATCTGCATCATCCGATAGTTCGCAAAGTTCCGATTCTTGAGGTGGATATGATGAGTGATCATTTATGCAAACCTACTCCATTTCCATGTCCTCGAGACGAGATCTCGGCATAATAGCACCGCAACAGCCCACACACGGAGGCCGTGGGCCACGGGAGAGTGGGGGACATGCCCTGGACGTCCGACTTCTCAGCGGCCAGCGACGTGAAAAAACGTGTAGGGCGCGATGGAGACAGCGGAGCCCAAACGTTCCAAGAGAGCGGAGCCGCTTGAAGAGCGTCCCTCAGGAACGGCGGAAATTTCTTGTGGGTCGCCCTCTCGCATTGGGGAGGCACGTTTGTTGGAAGGAGGAGGAGGAAGCAAGGAAGCGTGTGCACAGAGTTTCTACTCGCCTGCCCTGGTCCATCGTCCTTCCGCTAACTCGACACCAGGGACGCGGCTAAGCAACCTGCCGGACTCCCATGATGCAACTGCTATCTGGGATGTCTGAAGCAGCTGGCCAGCAGACGACCCAAACTTTTCAACCTGCAAGTTGCAACACTACCGGGTAGCTCTCTCTCTCGCGCTCTTCGGGCAGACCATGGATATGCCTTGTAAGTGCTCAAGTACCGAGATGCCGAGGAGATGGTTCTCGCAGTCCCAATCCAAGAACAACCCTGGAGACCCTGGCGTGAGCACTATTAGCTAAGACGTAACAAAGTGCTGGAATTGTCGGTGAACCGCTTTGGGGTCGCAAAGCCGAAGGCAGCCTTCTTATTGACAAGCAAGTGTTGCGACGGCAAGTGTGTGATGGCTGGCGAGGGAAATGGCGAAGGCAGCGAGAAAGTGGAATAATTGCGAGAAAATCATAGGAACTTCGCTTGCACCTTCCGCTTTGCATGCTGTGGCTGACATGGATGCCGCTCCCGTTGTTGTCGTTATGGTTATGCATTAGAATCCTCCAAACGCCTGACGCCGCACGCAAAAGACGACCAATCGACATTTTGATGCGCAACTCCCCTCGAACACACCATATCAGCCCTATCATCTTAACGTTGACCGGTCTCTGCACCAACAAATAGTACGCCAAGCCGGAGCATTCTGTGGCGGTGCAGCCATCACAGCATTTTCGCATTCCCACACAAAACAAGGTTGGCGCAGACAACCTGCTGCGTGGCTGGTGAGAGAACGGTGTGACGATTCGTACGCGTTAGCCAGGCTAGGCGAGTGAGCAAATCCTATCCCGCTACCCGCGAAAAGCGAAATCCAGCGCACTGGTATGACATCAAGCTCGAGCCTACTGTACGCTGTAGGTCATACCTTAGCGCGGCCGTTGTCTTTTGATCCTTAACTATCCTTTCTTTCGTCAGGGTTTACCCATCCGGGAAAACCTGCGTATTTCGTCCTAGACGGCATTGAAGAGAACTATTGCGCTGAATCGAGACTGCATTGTCGGCAACATGCTTGTACGTAAACCCGCAGTGCTGGGTTGATAATTGATAATGGGAAGCGATGGTGGGGGATTCGGTCTTGATTGGCGGCAGGAGGCTAAAATTGGTAGCTGACCTGTCCATCTTTCACGCGAGCATGCAGGGCAGACCCTGGCCATCACATGGAGAAACTAGGACTAGGGCTGAGAAACTAGGACAGTGTTGGACAACCTTAATTCTTCTGTGCATTGCTATCTAGCTGGTGCCTAAGTATCCTTGCTCTTCTCTGTACTCGGGGAAGTGCGGACGACGCTCAATGAGGAAGACGTT